GAAAAAACAGCAGAGCTATGGATGAAATTTCGAAGAACTTGACATCTATGTAGACCTTATTGTCCTAAACTTATTCAAAATGCATGTTCATGAAGTATCAATGCAGATCATACTTACAGGCAGAGCAAAGGTCTGATGTGGAGTTCCATCTTGATTATAAACCATTCTTCCTAAGAGGGTGCCTTCCTCGTGTATTTCCGTCATTCCCTGATGAAGACAAAAACAAACACAGATTAGTAAATTCTGTAGTTTCGCATGGTGTGGCTATCAAACAAGTACATGTATTACCAATAAGGTATGAATATCCAACATGTTCATATGTTACACATATCTCTGATAGGGACGGAATATATCTGACTTACATAGATTGAAAACTCCCTCGGTGCACTTGCAGTGTTTCCATAGGGTGACTGGCTCTTCGTGATGTGGCTGAGTGTTACATGGGTGATAGAGACCAGGTGGGACAGCGAGATGAACAAATGTCCTCGACCCCCTGAAAAAGACCAGCATTCTCCTGGCTGGAGCGTTGAATGTCCCTGAAAGATTAAACTTCAATATGTTAGTCTCGACAGTTCATTCATTACACCTTCAACTGTTTACAATGTTATTCAATATGACTGATAAACCATCTGTCAATGTGGCTGATTGAGTCTTACCTGGATCACTCTTCTCTGTTGTTCAGATGAATCCCACCAGTGGAATATTTTATCCAATAGAGAGTTGTTGTTTTCTTGAGGCCAATAAGTATCTGAAGACAATTGCTGCAATGTTCTGGCACCTAAACAAACACAAAGTGAGAAAAAAGATTGTAAGTTAGAAATCAAGTTCCACAATAAAGCTAAAAAGTATGAATTTTTTTTTTTAATTCTCATGGCAGCCATTTCCCTCTGAGGTCACACTCATATTGGTAAACTCAAATATATGTAAAAACGATGCAGTGCTGTATTATTGAGGTAATCGGGGTCTACACTCCCTCCCGCCCACTACGCTCTGCCAATGAAAGGCGTCTGATCCAACCTTCACAACAGGGTCCTAAGACGCTGACTAGACTCTTCACCTCTGTCGCCCCCCGGTGGTGGAACAAACCTCCAAACTCCATTCGATCTGCAGAGTCCCTTTGCATCTTTAAGAAAAAGCTAAAGACCCAGCTTTTTCATGAACACCTATGGCCTTAATGATGATGAAGACGATGGTTTTGATATTATTACTGATGAGGATGATGATAGTAATGACGATGGTTTTGTTTGATAATAACGATTTTAAGATGGTTTCTATACTGATTAGAAGTCTCGAGCAGCCGTCGATGTTGTGCTTTGCCTGTCAGCATTTACCATTTGCTGTGTGTTTCAAGTTGCTGATCAATCGGGAAGAAGTAAATGAATTAAGATTCATCACATTCCCTACATTTATATGTCTTTATACCGTTCTAATAATAAAAACAGGTTTGAGCTCTGAGTCAAAAATCTCAGGGGTAAATGGCCTCCGTATGAATATGGTCAACAGTTAGAAAGATGGTCGATGTAAATAAGTTACCTTGCGATTCCAGGGCGAAGTTTGGTATTGTGTCTGCCAGAGGAAAAGACATGTATGTCCTCTGTTGAAGGGACCTCAATTCCTCGTGGATTTCTTGTAATTCAAAGTGCACGCTGTTGCTGACCGTGGTTCTTGAGTTTCCTGAAGGATACGAAGCACAAATGTTAGAAACTTTCATTTTGATAACCATAGAGCCTCTCAAAAACTCCAATGAGGGATTTTAAAAAAATTACTCAAAAAGTTTGAAGGTCACTTACCATAAGTTTGAAGGAGCAGGAGCAGGAGCAGGATGGCACTGATAATCTTCCAAAATGAACTGCTCGATGTTTTAGCTGCAGACACAAACAAACCAAATGTTTAGAGCTTGATAATAAATAAAATATATACATTAAAACTTGTCTTCTATTAATCAACTGATGTGGTTAAGGGTTAGAGGAGGTACTTACCATTTTCCTCTCTGGATTTGATAGTCTGGGTCTCAACGGTTTTTGTCATAGGTCCTAATTCAGTGGTCTGAGTTTCCTCTTCCTGAGTCTCCCCAATCAATGTCTGTGTGCTCTGATCGGAAGTGGTCCTGTCATCAGGGGTCCAAGTCAGGGTAGTGTTAGTCTCAGCGTCTTTAACCTCAATTAAAGAAGCAGAAGCCTGAACATTCCTGTTAATAGGGCTGATTGTGGTGTGCTGGAAGAGGGGGTCAAAGGCGATGTTGACGATGAGTCCCTCAGTGTAGGTAGGTTCATAGGAGTGCTTGTAAGGAAGTGTTTCCTCTTCCGAAGGACCCTGCAAGATGAAACACAAGTTAGAAATGAATGTTTAATGTGTATATTTATAGTGTATTTACCCAATAACATGTACTAAACATATGAAGAGAAACACTAAAGCTACACACCTAAACAAGTATTCTCTGTAGTTGAAAAACCGAGTTCCCTGTACTGTGTAATGTCTTGCGTTCTGTAGACGAAGGCTTCTCCTCAGCATCACTGAAAAAAGGACAAAGACATGGAGGTAAAATCATTAGTGACACTCTTAAGTAGAAATGATGTATTATCACTTTTTAAAAATGACATGTCATTAAAGGTAGGCTACCTATACTCAGAAAAATATATATATACAACACTTAATAGACGCTTTCATGAAGCTAAATTAATTCAGTTACATTTTAGAAAAAAGCTTTGATGACAAACCTGAGGTCAAACAAGGATTGTGTGAAGTCTCAGACTTTTACTTACTTTTCACCTTGTTTTTTCTTGTGTAGCGGAAAAACGCGTTTAAATCTTGTTGAAATGTTTCCTTAATCAGATATTTTGAAAATTTGACTTGACTAACTGTAAATGGAAAGACTTGTTGTTGTGCTGGCTCGTCCTTCACTAATGATGAATGTTGGGCTTCCAAATTCATTAGACTGTAACTATCACAGTTCTATTCTTTGAAGTTAGTTTGGAATGTGCTTTATAATTTCAAGGAAAAACAAAGAGTTCAATTGTTGCTTAGCAACAAATTTCAAAGAAAAACAACTTCTTTCAGCACAGAATGTTTTCTATCAGGGGTTTTGTGATAATTTAGCATACACTAAAAAAATGAACACACTTAAAATAAATCTTAAATATATATATATATATATATATATATATGTATATATATGGTACCATATATGGTAGGGGAAACACTGGACATGAATGAACTACATCATTAGAATTTTGCTTTCATTTTTATAGTGTGGTGTTGCTGTAAGTCAAACATGAACTGAAAAATGAAGCTTATTCAGAACATTTTTAAATCAATAAAAGCCTATCTCAACATGCCTGTCTGGAAGTTTATTTTACAAAATATAAACTTGAATTAAAAACATAACTTTGAACTTGCAACTCACTTATTTAGGCTGAAGATAATGAAGACATAGGCCTATTTACAATGCTGCTGTTTAGTTGATTTAGTAATCAGTTTGAACTCTGTGTTGATATTTTAAGGAACTGTTCTCTTGCGTACAGGAGCACAGTTCTTTGTGTTTGAAAATAAGATATTTGCCACAGTTTCACTCTTTCTATAAAAACTGAGGGACAGCATTCCTAAAATGAAACCCTAGTATGCTCCAGTCAGTGTATTGCTATTTATTTAACCTTTGATTTGGTAAGGCAATCTTTTTAGCACATGTGGCATTAATCTGAAGAATTACCAACAGCATCACTGTTGTATATAATTTAAAATGAGAAGTGCAAAAATATGGAGTTAGATCAGTCTCAATATTCATGAATGCACACAGAAATTTATTTTTCACTTCGTTAGGTAATCAGTAGTTTCGCCTGGGCAGAGCTGAGAACAAGAGGAAGTGGAGAAGGGACAAACAGCGGAGGGAAACATACAGCCGTGACTATGGGTGATGGCTTTTGATGCTTTTGGCATGTGTCATTCTGAGGTACAATGGGCCTATCAAAGTTTTTTCTGTAACACTAATTAACAATATGCTATTTATTACACCCGAGTGATACAACTACATATAGTTTGTTTGTGCTGTAGACTATGTCCTTGTTCAATGCCTGTCAAATCGGCACACAACTGCTGTATCCCTCTTGAGAATGACTCAGCGGAAATAGGCCAACTAAATGTCAAATACATTGTATTTACATTTACAGTGAAGCTTATGTGAAAAGCCAGTTTAAGGGAACAGAGTAAAAAGTAGTATGACTTTGATATCTGAATGTCAGAAATACAACGTTGAAAAGGGGAGATAAGTTGTTGATCTACAAACATCCTCAGGTAGAAACCATTTTCATAAAAAGAAGAAAAAAGCAAGAAGCTCAACTTTGGTCTATTCAAGATGGCGGCGCGCACAGACAGCAACAGCAAGCAGCGATTTTATCAAAATTAGGACTTACACCCGAACTGAATTTATAAATATCAGACACGGCTCAACTAATAATACTCCGGAAGGATTCGGCTCATTATTCATTCATCCAGTCACTGCACAATAATAACTGTATATACTCTGTCACTGCACTATAACTTCACTTATTTGCATTATATCTCTATATTTTATATTTGTTTAATTAATCAGTCACTGCAAAATAATAACTGTATATATTCTTTCAGTCACCACAACTGTCTATTTATTTATTATCATTATCATTCATTCACTAGACAGCAATTGCTCTGGCCACTTTTTGCATACTTCTCTTTCATATCAACACAAATATATTTTTGTTGTTGTTGTTTTTTGTAAACGCTGCTGTTTAGGATTGCTGCTAACAAAGTTTCGTTGTGTCCTTGTATACAATGATAATAAAGATTCTATCTATCTATCTATCTAAAAGATGATCAAGTTCAGACCACTGACTTTTTATTACAACTGTCAATGGATCAGACCTGTAGCTCTTTCTCATGCAGTTCACCATATGTGACACAAGATGGCGACAAAGACTGTAGAGGGGGGATGATTGCAGATTAACATTCTGGACGCATTTCTTTTTCTTCTTTTTAATTTAAAAATGTCCGTTTCTTACGTAGGTTTCTTCAAGTTAAATCTTTTGCATACTATGTTTAAGACAGGGTTTGTGTATTATATCTGCTGTACTATCTCATCATGACACGGAGCAGTAGCAGCAGTACACTGGTGGGAAAGGTGTTGTGGAGGAAGTGGGTCCTGTCGTCCCACGCAGAGGAGGGTTTTCCGGTTAAAGTTTCCTTTGTGATTCGGAAGTGATGTTGTGATGCCAAAAGCCGTTCATCATTATTGACACTTCAAACAAGTGGCCACCATGAAAAGTAAGCATGAATATGTACATTCAATACATAGCGACACGGAATAAGTTAGCAGTCCCATTAGAGACAGACAGTAACTACGCTAAAGAGCAGCTAGCTAACAAGCGGCCAGCTTCATCATAGCTGGCAGATATAGCATGCTAACAGCAGCTAGCTAACTTGTAGTATCATGACTGTCTGGAGTAAACAAGGCTGCCAAACAGCTTCCACATAAAGCTTGCGCAAAAAAAAAAAGTATGTTATCCTATAATAGTGAACTTCTCAAGTGTACTGTATCGTTTGTTGGCAACATTGCAAAGTAGTTTCACTTTAATTTACGTTATGAGATAGTTCAGGTTAACTCCCACCCAGACAAGCTAACAATAGCTTAGCATGTCTGTGTTTTGGACAGTGACAGCTGCAGACTGCTGCCCCTTGACATCTCTGGACAAGGCCTGTCGTAATGTAAATGTTGTCTAGCCAGTATGATGAGTTCTCATTGTTCTGTTTTATCCCCTTTTACTCCATGATGGCCTTCTTACACGTGTTAGACTAACGCAGATACTCTGCATCATAATCCGCAGAGGACCAGAATAGACCACAGGGCTTGGCAGGAGAGGAGATCATTTATTGATTATTGTTGTTTTCTTTTCTTTTTTCTCCATCAGAACCATTCACTGCTCCGTCCTGCTGAAGTAGGAAAAGCTCCCCTCTATGATCTTTAGTCCATCGGGTAAGTAACAAGCCCTGTTTTTTTTATCCTGTAGCTTGCTGACGCTAACTATAAAAAGATTCTGTAATTGTTGGCAGTGCTTTTCCTGTGTCTGGTGGCAAGACGTAATCAGTGTTCTTCTTTGTGCCTGTTTGTACCTGTGCTATTGTGATACTTACACATATCTGAAAGGCTAGTGTGGGCGTGTAGAGAGGAGTGCTAGTGTCTCTCTTAAAAGCATTGCACCATTACAGCAGCCCTCTGTTGGGAAAGTAAGGATGAAGTAGGGCTGGGAAATATATCGAGTTTTTAAGATATATCGATATATTTAATATGTTAATATGGATATAGTTTGAGTTGCATTAAAATAACATGGTCACCTTTTTCTCATCTCACTGATGATGACTGACTGTCTGTCCCTCTTAACTCTGCTCCTCCTCTCTCTCTCTTTTATTGTATTTAAGGAACATTTTTATTTTATAATATTACTTTTTAAATTCACAAACCTGTAGTTTATTTTTCCATGTGTTTTCACTGTTAATAAAATACATATCCATATATATCGAGTATCGCCATTCAGCTAAACAATATCAAGATATGATTTTGGTCCATATCTCCCAGCCCTAGGAAGAAGTAATTGATGCTACAGAGAGCATCTCTTGAAACCAATCTGTGTACAATTGAGAGGTTAATGTCACTCTTGTAAAGACATAGGCCCTGATAGGGTAGATTGTTTGAGCATTTCACTATACACTTCAGGTATATAATTGTCACTGGTTGTTGACAGCAGTTATTCAAGTCTTGTACTGACATAAAGGTCACATGATGTTTTGAATCCACTGCAGTCGTTATCTCACACCCAAATCACAGTAGCTGCTTGCACCAGTATTGAGCATACAGGGTGCCCTACTGTCCTAATTCACACCTCAATAGACATTTTGTCACACTTAGGCAGTCTGACATTTAATTCTTTGGAGAAAGGTGCATTTCGGCACCACTCTAGTTCTCGGTCATGTCATTTTCTTCCCTCTCTAATTGTGTCTAAGTGTCTGTGAGTGGATAGGCTCGTGACTCCTTCAGCCACATTTATTTGGCTTTAGACAACTAAAAATGTAATTTCAAGGCTGTTATGTGTGACGAGGCTACATGTAAATGTAAAACGCATGCCTGTATGCTTTTGCTGCTGACAAACAGCTTTTCTCTGTGAGGTACGATTAGCAGATAAACTGGAGGATTTGCACACTGACCTTGTCTAGTCAGTGCAATTGCGTACTCTTTGACTGGAGGCTATCAGGAAGTCAATACATACACATGTGCTGAAATGTTATAAAGCTTACTGATGACATGAAATATATTTCACATTACAGTCAGGTCTAAATAATACACAAAGATCTGTTATGTCAGACAACAGATGTATACCTCTGTCATTGCTAAGGGGAAAAATAACACGGTAAATATCATAGAATACAATGTCTTTATTGTCATTATCCAATGTACAACGGAATTATAAAGCTTCACCTTAAAGTGCACACACATACAGTCATCCATAGCTAAAAATCAACAAAAACTCTCATACAGGTAAGATAGGCAATGTATGTGTAGATGTATTTACATGAGGTAGTATATAAAAAAAAGTGTCTTGCCAGATAACAAAATAAATATTAATGTAAATATTGCACATGCCAGACATTACAGTAGAGGGAAAAAAGTAAATAAATATACTGTGTATCAAAAGATATATATATATATATATATATATATATATATATATATATATATATATATAGTGCACAAATATCCTGAAATATCTCAATTTAAAAGGTTTGATAATGAAAGAAATGTCAACTCGCGTGTATTTTCATGTATCTTCAAATATTCTAAAACATCTGTATTGATTCTTAAGCATGCTTCTTTAAATAGGCATAGCAAAATCTCCCTTTATTAAAAAGAAACCACATGATAGAACCTGCCAACCTGTCAAGGGTATATTTTTATGTTTCGCTATTTAGACATGTCTGTGCCAGTACTTGATTGTGAAAGAGAAGAGTAACATCTCAGACAACACTGCCTCATTGTTTTCAGGACCACAGAATCCCCATCAGAACCTCTCGACCAGAAAACACATATTTGCAGGAAGTGTGGGAGAGAGATCCACAACACACAAAACAGCATCAACCATGACTGTGTCTGTTAAGTCCAAAGGAGTGTTTTTATAAAGGAATATAACCAGTTACACCAGAGTCACTCCAGTAAATCTGGAAAATCTGTTCTGTAACGAAGGTGTTAAATAAATCTGACCTGAGTTACAATGAAAACATATCCCTGCAGACTAGTCTAATCTCAGGCACGTTTGTGAAGAGGCTTAGCCCTACTCAGCTGAACCAGTTTTTCGCTACAAATGTACCTGCTAGCCTGAAGCACAATATTCCTCCCTAGCTGCTGCACTGTGAACCCTAACCTGCTTCAATTAAACAACAACACATGCTACATGCTTGACACAATGGTGGCATTTAAACGGTATGTTAACAGGGTGATCATTTCATATTTAAAAGGTCTCCATATGTTATCGTCTGATAGTTTACTTTCCTCCTAAAGAATAACAGGCCATTTTCACACAAGTGTTATTTAAAGGTCACAGCAAAAAGTTTAAATTGTCAAATTAGAGATGGCTAAATGTAATGTAGCTGCTTTGGTTTCACATCCTCATGTTGTGCATGCTGTTTCATTGTTTACTGGGACACTTGACTTGTTAGAAAAACGTGTGTTTTTCCCACTATAACAATTCAAAATGTCTACACTTAAACTAACAACATTGGAATCAACAGTTTATCTGGGATTTTCATGTTTGTCTGATAGTTTACATGGAAGACGAACAATAACATTTTGTGTAAATGATATATTCAGGCTAAAGATTATTTACTTCTCTATAAAGACATACTAGGAATTTGAAAATTTGTACCAAGATTCACCTTCTCAACTTTTGTGGACTCAAGTATTTGCAGCAGTTGCACGCCCTTCTTTGTTTTTTGTTAGACTGTTAATTGCCAAAATATCTACAAACTCCTGAAGTTGAGTGGCCTTTCTTGTTGACAATGTTTTCTCCCTTGGTGTTGCTCACGCTCATCTCGGCTGTGTTTCCATTCTTTTGAGGCACATTAGTCATGTTTTTCACAAAGGCCTGTGAATACACCATAACAACAATAACACAACAAAATCAGCAAATCTCTTTAACTTATTGAGACAGATATACTTCCATTTTTCTCCATTGAAAGTGAAAACCATGTATCTGTTAAAATTAAAGGGACTTTATGTAACAATCTGAAACGCGATGTTGTTCTTGACACCGCTGGCCGTTGGGTGAACTACATCAGTAACCATTTGCTCGTTCTCGCTGGCGATGGTGCTCGTATGAGTAAGAACAAGTATCCTGACCATCCACCGCGACACACAGGAGACACACATGATTCACTGGTGTCATGTTTACAGAGGAGGTAAGTGAAATTATACTTTTTATAAGTTTATAGTTTGACAAAATATACATTTGAGACTAAACTATATTTGAGTCTGGAGTGCTGACACAACACTAAAACAAGATGTTAATATACAGTAGATGAAGAAAAGATAGTTTTAGATTGTTGTTATATGATTAATGAATCCTTACCACGTTTCTACCTAGCATAGCATTGAACAATTTCATCGTCTTTAAATGATATGTTGACTACATGTACCTTGTAATTAATTTACTGTGGGTGTTTGCACAGCAACATATTCTTTTTGATGGTTGAGTACCGTTAAATAGCTGACTAGCTTTATCAATAACCAACGTAGCTTTCACAGAGTCTCCGATATGTTAGCACAGGTGTCTTTGTAATAAACTTACTAATGGTTACACTAATGTGTTACCACTACAGCTTATGTTACTGGGTGTTTGCACAGCAACATATTC